TCGAAGATTTCAAGAAGATAGACCAATATTGAAGTAGCTAGTACTACAAAATGTACAGCCGTCCGTTCAAATGTTGCATTGTTTGCTCATTTATATATATATATATATATATATATTAGAGTGAATCATGGTTGTTACGTTTAAAACATTTTGTTTTAAATAGACGTTTAAAAGCCAGACAAGTGCGAGTCAGACTCGCGCACGAAGGGTTCCGTACCAATAATCTTGTAACTTAAAACGATTCACTATAATTCTGAATTGAAATTTATAAAACGAATCTTTGTATACTCATGGCAACCATTTATTAACAATACGACGTCACTCGTGGTAACTATTTATAAACAAAAATTTCCATCTGAAATCTCAAAATTCCCGTTTTAGCAAGGTATTATGTTCATGACCGTGGTCAAAGATTTAACTACGATCTTTGGTACTAGAATTTTTGATTGATAGTTTTTCCCTCCAATTTTTTGTGTTTATCACTTATCAGTTATCTGGTTTTCAATTAATAAAATAATAACGATTAATATCATAGACATGTCAATTTTATTCTGTGCTATGATTAATATTGTAATGGGATTACGTAATATCATGTATTTGCTCATAAAAACAACCAGGAATGCGACCACACCCAAAAGTGTTTTCGACTAAGAATACCACTCTTAGTCGTGAGGTCCATATCAAGGACGACTGTACACGTGCCGCTCACTTCAAAGGACGCCGCCACCATATATATAGGGGACAGCGAGACAGCCTGAGTAGATGTATCCAGAGACGAGAACAACACACGACTCGCTTAGCCGCCCAGCCATCACACACAACTTACACGGAGATTATCAATTCTGGAACGAGCTACAATTCGCTACAATCAACACAACTGTTCTGCTTATTTTGTCTGGTTTAATATAATACATTTGATTACTATACTAATTTGACTATTATTATTTATCAAAGTACATCAGCTTTTGGATCCCTGAAGGGCCGCATGTAACAATATCAGTTGAATGTCTGAATCTTAATTCTTAAATCGTAATATTTGAAATTATATTATAATTGATATATCTTAAAAAAAAACAAAATACATTGTTGAATTTTTTCAAACCCAAAGAAAAACAAGGTAAGAACAATTTTATGAAAATATTAAATGCATTTAATTACAAATTTTATTTTAGATAATACATTTTCTCATATTAATGTTCCTACAAATAATCCAGATGATCCAATGTCTAGTGTTAAAAATACAGACTACCCTGATGACTCGTTGTTGGTGTGTGATCAATCACCAAAAGTCAATGATTTAAGTAATATATTAAAGAAAACAGTTTTACTGATACAGTCAATAAAATACAATTTTTCTTTTAGATAATACATTAGATAATACTATTGTTCACACACACAGTTGCGAAGATAACTAAGCACACCACTGCCCTCCCGTCCATCTCAACCTTATCGTGCTTATGTTATTATAATTATCTAATACGTCCTTTCTTAATTATATAAATTAATTATTATTTATGCGTCTATTGGCGATTGCACTTTTGCGGTTTCGGGTTTCTGTCACAGAACACGGTACCGGCGATTTGCCATTCTGTCACAGAACACGAGACCGGCTAAAATAATCGCCGATAGACCGCATATAAAAGGCCGCACGACCGACAACCGAGTACCAGTCTTTTACCTGATCTGTAGCAAGACCCACCCGGGCAGACTTGCGCATTTCAGGTAAAAAGCCTTCCACACCCGAACTTATCGGACGGTATTTATATCGGTCAATAGTGCAATAGTCAGAGTATTCCGGCATTGCACTGACCATATCGTCGCCGTCGTGCAAAAAGTGTGTAGTAAACCGACGGAGTCGATTCACTATTTTTTTTACTTTATTACATTAAAGCCACGGCCTTCACATTTTAATATGATATTTCGGATTCTCGGAACTATCAATGCAAGGCATATGGTCTACACAAATACTATTGCGTTTTACGAGTTCCAAGAATCAAAGACGTGAGAAGAACCAGTTAAAATATTGCAAATTTTTATTACCTTTTGGTCGCAAACTACTTTTCGGCAGCTACAATAAACAACAAGCTGCCGACTCGCCTTTTTGTCCACCTCCTAGTCTCTACCGTGTATAACAGGGAGTACAGAGAACCATATAAATATGAGTCTCTGTACACCTTAGGATCAGAATTAGTCTCACATCCCTACATGTAGTACTTACCTGGTCGTAGAGTCCGCGCACTCTACATCGCCGGCAGACTAAGTACATTCCCAGTAACTACAAGTAGATTTAACTAGTTCTCGGGCAGTTACTTAACGTGCTGTCCACAAATTTTTATAACATTTTGTAACAATTATTTTATTTTATTTTATAACAAGTTTAACTCAATCATAATAAATACTTCATTTAACATTGCGCCTTTGTCTCTCTTCGAAAAACCTTATTCCTTTTGATCAACCTGGTCCAACTACAGACGTCGGTCACTCAAATATAAGTGTTAGTGAGGGATCACTACAAGTGTCTAAGTGAAATTTGAACTTTGTTGGGAAACCACAATTGAATATTCATAATGGTCTGGAAATTCACAAACTATTTCGATTTTAATAATGTTAGTCTTAAAAAATCCTTAAAACAGTAATTAAACCTTGAATTATCCAATTTTATATTTTAATATAACTAGCAGAATACTTGTAGAACATAAAAAAGGATAGATGAAAAAATAACCAACTGACTTTTTAATCACTTGATCAAATTAAGAAATGACTAACTGACTTACTCAAATCACTTGGTCAAAAAATGTGGAAAGTAAAAATATTATTATTTTATTAGAAAACAAAACAACAAATTATTTATAATTTGAATCAATAAAAAAAAAAAAACATAATAATGCTATAGTATGTTTATAACAATTAAATAACACGTAGTACTTTAAAAAATTATAAACATAATAATTATAATATAATAATATTAATATCATCACAGAAACTTTTGTGTATAGGAATAAATGAAACATAAGACTTTAAAATAAATAATAATGCTATAGTTTGTTTATAACAATTAAATAACACGTAGTACTTTAAAAAATTATAAACATAATAATTATAATATAATAATATTAATATCATCACAGAAACTTTTGTGTATAGGAATAAATGAAACATAAGACTTTAAAATAAATAATAATGCTATAGTTTGTTTATAACAATTAAATAACACGTAGTACTTTAAAAAATTATAAACATAATAATTATAATATAATAATATTAATATCATCACAGAAACTTTTGTGTATAGGAATAAATGAAACATAAGACTTTAAAATAAATAATAATGCTATAGTTTGTTTATAACAATTAAATAACACGTAGTACAGTGTGATCGAAAAGTCGCGCACACCAAAATAGAAATGTTTCTAAATAGCAGTTTAGATAAATTCTTCTTATCGGTTATTTCAAAATAACACTTTGGGTATTCTCCACATTTAATCTAGACGTCATTATTATGTGTATTGTTGATACGACGCTTTTAGTGGTGCTTTGATTATTGCTTGGTGAACATGTCGTTTTCCCAAGACCAACGTGTGTTTATTGTTGAACATTATTTTGCTAGCCGTTTTGAACTGAAGAGTAACATAACGATGGAGATAAATTTAATCAATGTGAGCGTATTGCACAAAGTGGCCACAAACGTGGTAAAACGGGTTCGTGCATGCATTAATGAACAAGGCAGCCATTTTGAGTATATGTTATAAAACATGTTAAATGCATATTTATAAATTAATTTGGAATATTTCTGTATTTGTGTTTATAAATAAAAGTAAAATTAATTCAATAAAAATACTATTAACAAACACATTCATTTTGATGTGCGCGACTTCTCGATCACACTGTACTTTAAAAAATTATAAACATAATAATTATAATATAATAATATTAATATCATCACAGAAACTTTTGTGTATAGGAATAAATGAAACATAAGACTTTAAAATAAATAATAATGCTATAGTTTGTTTATAACAATTAAATAACACGTAGTACTTTAAAAAATTATAAACATAATAATTATAATATAATAATAATAATATCATCACAGAAACTTTTGTGTATAGGAATAAATGAAACATAATACTTTAAAATAAATAATATACATAATAATGTTTTTATACTTGCGTGTATAACTAAGTAATGAAATAAAACTACTTTATAATAAACAATAAACATAACAATATTGCCATCACAGAAACTTTTGTGTATAGGAATAAATGATACATACTACTTTAAAATAAATAATAAAAATAATACATTTTTATACTTTTGTGTATAACAAATTAATTAAACAAACTAATTTATATTAAATAATAGACAATCGTCATAATAATAATAATATAAACACAGAAACTTTCGTGTAGGTATAGGAATAAATGAAATATTTTACTTTAAAGTAAATAATGAACGTCATAATAAAATTACTCTGATTGGTCTTCAAATTCAGTTATTATAATATTGGCATCTTTATTTTTTGTACAACTAGGAATATTTTTGTACCATTCATGGAATTCTTTTGGAATTGCTTCGGTGTTGCACAACTTTAATAGATCTTTTTTTTTCGCATCGGATATTGGTATTTGTTTTATGTATAATTGTTTTAATGTTTGTGGGCATTTTGGTGGTCTACCTCTCCCACCAACTCTTATTATTTTGAATTCCTCGTCTGAATAATTATATTTAAATTTTATGGCTGATGGGTTTGACTTTTCGTATCTCATGACTTATTTTTAACCAATTAACTTTTTCACTATTTTCATCGACCGACCGATTTTTCATTATTGTTCCTGCTAAACTTCGCAAGTCCATAAAATCAGTGTATTTTAACTCTTGGGCAGAGTAAGGTGAAGAAGACTTTTTACGCCTATTTGATCTGGCTAAGCGACAAATGGTCAACCAATCATGAATAGTATAAACCGGTACATTTTTTTTTGCATTTTCTATGGCACTATGCATACCTACTGTCGACCTCCATATAAGAGTGGCCGCTCTCCATAAAATTATGTGTCAATATATTTATATTTTGTGAATTATTTACAACAAACAAAAACAACGCTGCAATATATTGATTTCGGTTCTGGCCACTACACGTATCTGAATATAATGATATCTCATTAACATTTTGTGGAAGTTGATTTATCCATTTTAACAAGGCTGAACCGATTTCTGAACTACCCCTTCAAGTTCAGTCCATAAATAGCAAAATGCTTTGTTCGGCGGAGCAGCTTCATATACTGTAAGATTATAAGTGCATAATTTTCTGCTATAATACATAGACGATACCTCTGACGACGGAATTTGAAGTACGCTTTGCAAATCAAAAGTTGCACTGCAAACATTTTCATTCAGAATGGCACGTTCCTTGTCTAAATTTTTTGCAGAGAATGACTCGTCTTTTCTCCTAATATGATTTTCATAATTGGTTGCAATATCTTCTTGAATAGGTTTTTCAGCGTTTTTAAATTTTTCACATGACAAACATTGATCTTTTTTAGGTTTAAAAAAATCCAAATTATAATTTTCGGAAAATATAGTGCGGTAGGTAGTTCATTTCCTTTTTCGGTTGATTCATGAATGTACTCATGCATTTTTGAAATTGAAAGAGTTGGATCTAAATACTGCCGTTTTGTATTTGAACGGCAATAGTGAGATTCAACAGTTGGGAACTTTTCTATATGATTTTTTATTGAATTTATAGTTTCAGAACTTTTTTTATTTACTGGTTCCTTCTTTCCTCTATTGTCTGTGTGAATATGAATTCCGGTTTTTTCATTATAACTTTCAAAAGCTTTATCAACCGGCCCATGACTAATAGAAAGGGTTTTTAAAAAAAATGGTTTGCAAACACGAATTGGAGTATTGTCATTCAAAAAATTATAATTTTTAGATGTTTGTTTAGCGATTCTCGAACCTGTTATAGGAACATGTCGTTTAACAGAATATTGGGATACACGAGACAAAATGAAATTTTTTTGCTGTGCATAATCAAGTGACCAATATTCCCTGCATAATTGAACTCTATAATCCTCATTGAAACTTATCGAACATTTAAACTTACATTTAGAACAATCTATCGCTAATGGTTTTTCAGATAATTTTCTTTTTTTTACAGCAACATTTCTTTTCCATTTCTCAGGCTGCCCTCGTCTCCACCTCACTAAATTATTATCCTCTTCCGTTTCAACTTCAATTTCTTGTTCTTTTTCAATTTCTATATCTTCAAATTCCTGTTCTACAATATTTTCACTTTCCTTCGTCATAATATTTTCAGATAGATAATTGTCATTTAATTCAGAGTCCGATGATTTGTGATTATTATTAGGTTTCCATTCATCTTCACTGTCTAAATTGTCATCACTGCTAAAATCTAAAGCTTTTCTCTTCATTTTGCAATATCTATCCTCAGTAGTAATATTATTATCAGGAGTTACTTTCAAATTTGTTAAAACTGCATACGTTTATGGTGTACTTAAAATGACATCACCTTTTTTTAAAAAAACCAAGCCATTAATCATCAAACTATTTTGAAACTATAAATATCATTAACTCTATTTTAACTATAATAATAATAATAATAATAATAATAATAATAATAATAATAATAATAATAACTAATTATAATATAAATTAATAATTTATAATACTATTGAAAAATTATTACAATATTAATTGTGTTCTTATGAGTGCCATGTAATTCGTTTTACGCGACTTATCTAGTGATCAACAAAAAATGTGTGACCAGTAAAATAATATTTCCTATACAACACGGCACACAACCTCATCACAGTATGTTTATATTATTATATAATAACATAATATCTATAATATAATTAAAACTTAGTACTTACTGTTACTGTTGCATAGCGATACCAATTTTTTGCTTCGTGAGCTCATTTTAACAAAATTAAAAAAAAATTTTAATGCGAACGACAGTTGAACGTCGAAAACTGAGTGATAACATAACTTTATTATTTATATTATTATCATATTTTATTTTATAGTTGATAAAAGAAAAATAATAAATTACAGTGTGTCCATTTGGACATATTTTTTGTCAATATCGTATTGTATCAAAACTGTCCAAGTGCACTTGGTCATATATTGAATGTTATGTAAAAACTGATCAAATACACTTGGACAATTTTTCCATGTAGAAAAAAATAATTTAAACACTTAGTCAAAATACAACAGCCCATAACTTAGTATATATTTTACATTTTCACTTGGTCGTTTTTTCTATAGTTAAAGGAGGACTATGGTAACTATTTGGCCATATTATTTCACTTGGTCACTTTTTGCACTTAGACACTTTTTGCACTACGGCGACGATATATCTGTCGCAGTTTATGGGGCAATAGTCGGAGTATTCTGGCATTGCACCGACTGCTATATCGTTCGGTAAGTTTCAACACCCCGTCGTGCGCACTTTTAACTCCATACCCTTTGATATTAAATCTTAAACCGTGTGCATACTTTTTTTGTTGTTTAATAAAATCTAAAAATAGTCAGTGTGACATCAAAATAATCGAATTTTTTATTACCACAATAAAACAATTCCAAACCACAACCTCAAACAACTATAGAGAAAGAATCAGACATAAACAATTTAAAGATAGGTATGTGCTTTGAACTTTCAATCTAATAAATTCTATGAAGTAAATGTTAAATGTATTATGTAATTATATTATTTTGGTGTTGTTTAACAGGGACCTGGTTCATGTTCTAATGTGTCTAACTAATTAGTAATCACTAATCACCATCGCTGTATATCCTAAATATTGTGTTATGTAGCCAGTCATTATATTTTGTTGTACCAATATTCAATGTTTTAGTTACATTATAATTTAAAACTAAGTATTTGTTTTTATTTTATATTCATAAAAATACAGTAACGATAAATTAATACCTTATAGCATTTGATTATTTATTTTATTATTTTGGTAGCTCGAATCAATTACAAGAAAATTTATAATTATAAATTCTGTAAAGTGTATGTTTTAATGTATTAAATGTGATGTTTGTAATGTAATGTTTAAATGTAATTATCGCTGACGAAACTATCGATGTTGGTCACAATGAGCAAATGTCTTTTGTTATCCGATATTATTCATCCGAGCAAAAAAGACCAGTTGAAAGATTTTTTTTTTTTAAGAAGATTATTACATGGAGATGTTCAAACTATTTTTTTGGAATTATGTGATGTATTGAACAATATAGGTATTGAATGGCATAATGTGTTATCAGTTTGCTTCGACGGTGCTTCTACAATGTCTGGTCATGTAGCAGGCGTCCAAGCTAAATGAAAAGAGATGAATTCAAAGATTTTCTATGTTCATTGTTATGGGCATTGCTTAAACCTTGTGTTAGTAGATTCCATTGGAAAAGAAAACCGTGTGACATTTGATTTTTTTGGTACTGTTCAATTGGTTTATAATTTAATTGAAGGTAGTTGTGTACGTCTTGCTATATTAGAGACAATTTTAACTTCAATGAATATAAAGTTAAAAACATTGAAGACACTGTCAACTACAAGATGGGCATGCCGTTCTGAAGCAATTGAGGCAATTAAACATAATTACACGGTCATTTATTATTATTACTATTATTATTATTATTACATATTTTATAATAATAGACGTATGTCTATAATAAATGTAACTGGGTTCGCCCGTTTAAATTATACAAATAAATAAATAAATAAATAATTATGTATACTCTGTTCAAAATGAGATGATGATTCGGCGGCCAAGTTGTGCGCATGGGCGTGGCTTTGTTCCATTGCAGCGCCCGACGCGTCGCCGTAGTGGGGACAGCGTCTGACCATATGTCTGACCGCCGCCCGACGAAAACTGGTCGCCGCCGAGTCATCATCTCATTTTGAACAGAGTATAGCAATATTAAAAGCATTGGAGGAAATATCAGACTCAATAAATCTTCCAGATGTAAGAGCCAAAACAAAAGGTCTCATTTATTCTTTGAAAGCTTTTAAATTTGTTTTTGCTATGTGTATGTTAAGCCCTATACTAAATTTAGTAAACAAAGTTAGTGCTACATTACAATCACCTAACTTGGATTTACATACAGCAGTTACACTAATCACTGCTTTGCAAAACTCTCTTCAAAAGATGAGATCAGAATAAACATTTAATAAAATGTTTGATGAAACTAAAGTGTCTTGTACTAAAATTGATGTATCCTTACCTGAAGTAAAAAGGCGTAAAGTATCAACTAAAGTAGATTATGAGCATCATCCGCAAATTTTTTTTGAAAATACAAAAGAAGAAATGAAGGTAGCTGTGTATAACAGTGTTATTGATAAAATGTTAAATGGCATCAAAGTTCGTTTCAGTCAAGATACATTAAATTTAATTGATAGTGTTGGTAACTTACTAAAACTAGAAATAGAAAAAAACATCTACAAACTATTTCTGATACATTTGGTTTATCTTTTGATCAACTCGACACTGAAGTCAGACTGTTTACACAAATAGATGACATACCAAGAGGAAGTAATAATAGTACAATAACTCAGTGGTTGAGTTGGATAACTAAAGATGGAACAGACCGAATGAGAACTTTTGAAAATATATTTAAAGTTCTACAAGAATTTACTACCATACCAGTCACTAGTTGCTCTTGTGAAAGAGCTTTTTCAAAAATGGCAATAGTTAAAAATAAATTAAGAAGTACAATGGCTCAAGAAAGGTTAGATGCCTTACTTACAATTTTTGTTGAACAGGAAATTGCAAAATCTTTAGATATGGAGGAAATTATTGATGAGTTTAAAACACTAACACCAATACAAAGAAGATTACCATTATAAAATATAAATGCAAATGCTAGTTGTATAATAATATGTAATATGACTATAATATGTAAACTAATAATCATTTTATTTTAAAATCAAAATTAATTATTATGTTGAGACAGTATTTATCTTACTGAATTGCAGTAGGACAAGTAACCCCTACTAGAATAATTCTGCACACCCTGTGAAGAATTCCTGCGCACGCCTATGCACGGAAATACATAATCTGTGAAAATTTCAACTTTCTAACTTTCATGGTTCATGAGATACAGCCTGGCGACAGACGGACGGACGGACGGACAGCCGAGCGAAAGTAATAGGCTTCCGCAGGGAAATGTACGGAACCCTAAAAATTAACAATTCTTCCTTTTATAGTTTTATATAATAGCATATGCCATAATCATAAATGATATAATATTATTTGTTGAGATGCTTAAAAACGGTTACTAATTTTGAGCATTTTTCGACGCCCAAGTTTATTTTTGAATTTTGAATGTATTAAACCAACTGATGAAAATAATCTTTCTATTCCTGCTGAACTACATACAGCTGTAAATAACTGCATTGTCAATGTGTTAAGATCATTTGATATTAATTTCCTTTTAAATAAAGCGCTCCACCATGCCATCGGACTGATATTATTAACAGTGTCAGAGTTAAATAAGTATGGTTTAAATGTAGCACATTGTGCTTGATAATTTATTATTTCAGCTAATACATTTGGATGGTAACTGTAGACGTACTGCAATGCTGAATCAGATTCATCTTCAGATAAACGAGTACCGTTATATTTAGGACCTAACATATTGGCTAAAAAATGTGGTGGTGTCACAGCCATATCATATCTATCTTTCAGTTTTTCAATCTCACTTGAGTCACAATTTTTTTCAAAAAAATCTAATAAATCTTTCCAGACATCAATAGCCTCACTCAATGTGCAAAAATCATTTTGTATTTTATCTAATGAGATTGATATCATTTTTAGTTTTTTAAAGTTATCTTCAGCATTTCTTTTCATTTCCATATCTTCTATTTTTCTTATTTTAGTGGCGTCAATAGCCGCACGGTTGTTTGAACAAACTGAACTCAAAATATGCCATTTATCTAGATAGGACTGTAGGCAATCAGAAAAAGTGTTCATCAGATGGTAAGATTAATGTTTTACCACCTGCCTGTTTATACTTGGCTCCTACTTTATGACTATTTCTAAAATACTTTATGACTTGTTTGATATTTGATTTTATACTATTAACTTCTAAATCGTGTGCCAATAAATTTAAAATATGTGCGCTGCATCCATATGTTATAATATCACGTATATTATTATTAACTGCACCAATTTCATCAATTTGAGCAAGTTCTTCTCGCATTTTGGCCATATTAGCAGCATTGTCAGTGACAAAGCTTCGAACTATTTTATCGTATTTTTGGCAATTGTTTATGGCCTCTACAGCTAAGTTTAATAAATATTCTGAATTATGAGAGTTATCTTGAGTGTCGATTGTTTCAACCAAAAAAACCGATTTTTCAATAATGTCATAAACAGAAATACATACTACAGGTTCATTATGGATATTGCCCCATCCATCCATTGACATGCATACACTTTTACCCCTTAATTGAGATTTTATTTCAAAAATAGTTACATTAAATACCTCATCGATCAAATTATTTGCAATATTATGCCTATTTTTTAATTTGTAACCAGGTCTTAGTTGATTTATTAATTTTACAAATTCTGGATGTTCCACATTTCTAAATGGTGTGTTAGTACTATAAATAAATTTTGCCGTCTGTAAATCAAACCTTTTTTTTATCTATCTGAGTTGACCGAATAACAAAATCTCCTATGGCATTTTTAGATGTTTGTTGTGTACAGTGGCGTGCAGATCCCTTTTTTCATGTGGGGCAAAGTTAATTTTTTTACACCCACCACCCACCCAAAACTAAAAGTTGCAAATAATATATGTTTTATTAAGGGCCCCCATACAATTATATGAAAACACAATTTTTTTTAATATTTATAAAAAAAAAATTGTAATTCATATTCCACTATCATTTTTTATAGTTAACAGCTATTCAGTATATAATATACATTACAATAACCAACTGGGATTATTAAAATAATAAATACTTTGTGGTTTTGTGGCTTTGTGGTTAATATTTTTAGAATAACAACTACTATTATTAATATATTAATAATAATCTGAAATAATCAAATGTATTGAATTAATTTTAATAACTGCAGACAATGAGTTTTTATTTTTATTTTTAAATATTTATTGTATTTATAAATCTAGATACATTATTTATTTATTTAATAATGATAAATTATTTGGATATTTGATTAACTTCTAACCAACCTATTTAAATCAGTTTTTTTAGAATATATTTTAAATATTTGCTAAAATTAAATTAATTAAAACAACTTCAACTGTTAAAATCATTTTATTTTATTTATTTGAACATCAATGCATCATTTAAAACCTGTGATGATAATCCAAATGTGTCAATAACGTCATTATAGTTAATTTGTATGTCTTTCTCACAACTGATTAACATCAAACTTTCCAGTCTATTTTGATCAATAGTGGATTTTAATCTGGTTTTGATTAACTTCACCTAAATTATAAATAAAAATTAATTAATAAATAAATCTATATAATATTTTGTAAGCTCCGAAATATACCTTAGAAAAGGTACGTTCTGCTGACGCCGAAGTAGCAGGTATAGCGCTTTATAGGCCAAGTATAAGTTTGGGAAAGCCGACATCAAATTATAGTTAGATAGTACATGCAAAATATTATTGATTGTAATTTTGGTTTCCGGATTTGCTAGACCTGTGTTGTCCTCATCATCAGTGTTAGTATTGTCACTTGAATCCGTATCATATGTATCATCTGGGCCATCTGGCTTGTGTAACAATAATGGTGTTTCTAATCCTGAAACGAGATCTCTTAAACTATGACTAAACATAATGTATTCACGTTTCAAATCATTTCCGTTAATATCTTTTAACCAATTTGATATATTATGGAAACTATCTTCTGGAATAGATTTATTGTCTTTTTTCATATTCACCAGTCGTTCAAGAGACAAAAGAGATACATCTTTAAGTATTTCTCTGGCACCACTAAATCTAGAATTAATTGATGAAATTATTTGATCCAATACTTTAAAGTACCTATGTATTTGTTCTATATCTATCACATGCAGAAACAGATACTTCATCATAAATATTTTCACCAGGCATCCTTTTTTTTTCTTGGTCTAGTTTCTTTAAAATTTAACTCTGACGTGTTGTGTTTTTCAGCAAAACGTTTTGCTTCATTTACCATTAGTTCAAATTCTGCATCACAGCGCATAGAAGTAAATTTTTCTTTTGATGCATCAACCAAATTTAATGCCTGAATAAAATCTATGGATTTACTTTGTAAGTAATTGGATAAAGGTGTGGTTATTGCAAATATATTTTTATTTAAGATCATTGTGAGTATAAATTCAAATGTGATTACTGTTAAAAGACTTTTAGCACCCGATGAAGTTACTCTATTATTGTCATATACTAATCTTTTTAATGTTTCTAATATTGCTTAAAATCTTTCAAATAGAACAGTTATAACCCTTCCATTTGAAGTCCACCTAGTATCGGAAAAGCATTTTAGCCGACGTGTTCTATCTCCTGGATAAAACTGCTGTTGACATTCGATGAAAGTGGCAGTTCTTTTTCTTGCCCGAAAAAATGAAACTAATACTTGAACTTCACCAAAAAAATTTTTCATTACATCACAACAATCACAAGTATCTACAAGAACCAAGTTCAGTAGATGTGCGAAGCACCATACATATATAGCGTTGGGATTTTCTTTTTGAATTAATGTCCGAAGACCAGAATATATGCCTTGCATAGATGCAGCACCATCATAGGATTGCGCACACAGATTTTGACGCTAATTTAAATTATACTTTTCAGTTATACTGCAAAATTTTTTAAATAACCCTTGTCCGGTTCCATCAGCTGCGGTTTCCAAAGCTACCAAACGTTCTTCAATACTACCACAATTGTTCACATATCTCAAAACAAATGTTAACTGCTCATAATTGGCTATATTAGTGGTATTATCAATGATTACTGCAAATATTCCTGCATCTTTGACATCTTTTAATATTTGTGAACGAATTGATTCAGACATAATGTTCAATAATTTATTTTGGCTTCTGTTAGATATAAATGATACTCTTTGGCGTGTATTAGACATAGCGTATCGAGGCCTTGTGGACCACGTCAACCAACAGCTCCACTTGGACGTGCCGGCTAATCCCTTGGCCGTCGGCCGCAGGGTCATTTTACCTTCGACGTTCGTCGGGAGTCCCCGTTACAATTAAGTCTGTTATCACGACACTATTTCCATTGTGCGAAAATTCGGTAAGCCTGATTACTTCATTACTTTTACATGCAATCCTCGGTGGCCGGAGATCACAGAAAACCCAGGGAGATACACTCTGGCAAACGACAGGCCCGACATGGTGGCCAGAGTGTTCCACGTCAAACTCAAGGCTCTTATGCACGACATAACAGTCGGTAGGATTTTTGGTAATGTTAATGCTTATGTATACACTGTTGAATTCCAGAAACGCGGTTTGCCGCACGCGCACATACTCATCATCTTAGGGGAGGACAGCAAGTTGCTCGACGCACAGGACGTCGACAACATTGTGTGCGCCTCCTTGCCAGACCCGGAGACTGATCGGCGTCTGTTTGACTGCGTGACGTCGCACATGATTCACGGACCGTGTGGTCCACTAAACCCCAACAGTCCATGTATGGTGGACAACAGTTGTTCAAAGAAGTTTCCGAAACAGTACTGTGATGAGACGGTTTACGTCTCTGATGGCGGCTACCCCATGTACCACCGTCCGAACAATGGTCGTGTGGCTCTTGTCAGACAACGAGAGGTCGGTAACGAGTTTGTCGTTCCATACAACCCGTATCTTCTGGCTAAATATGACGCTCACATCAATGTTGAGGTGTGCTCCACCATTAAGTTAAGTACATTTATAAATATGTCTACAAGGGACATGACGCAGCTACTTTGGCCTTACAGGACGGATATGAGGCGTTAAGGTAAGCAGATTCAATAATTTATTGTTTTCATACAGAGAGTCTTAATACTATTATAGCTTTCATTGTTATTCTAACATTGTATAAATTAATAATAAATACATTGACCATGTAGGTACATTTTTATAACCTTTTCATTTATACTTTGCATAATGATTAAATGCTGTACAGAGATTAGATAAGATTTCAATTGTTCAGTTAGTAGTTAGCACTAAACTTACCCGTACACCTACATAAAGATTTGCAGTAATATTTTACTACTTCACTTACATACACATAAGTTCATATTTTTTGGAGTTTACAACTTTTTACAAACTATTCTTTACCGTATATTATATTATATATTATACAACTATTTAAATTATACACCGATAGCACAACAGACTGACTTAAATCTAAAATTTTGTTGAGGGGGTGGGGTGCTGGGTTGTATATATGTAATTCATTACAGATTAAATGATTAATGTACAAAAGTTCTGTTCATACATTTATACTGTGTACCTACATAACTACATTAATTAACTTATTTTACAAAAGATTCAACTCAATCCATTTTAATGTGTTTAGGTATAATTAATAATTTGTTCACAATATTGTTCTTAACTTATCAACTGTTGTTTAATATTTTATGATTTGCAAGTAGGTACTTAAGCCATAACTTGATTCATTTTTACTATTTAAATGTGCATAGGAAGGTATATTTAATAACTTCTACAGATTTAATTTTAAACTTCTAACAACGGTTACCTAACAGTTGTTTATTTAAATTTATAATTGATGAAATAAAAATAACAATCTCTTTACAGTACCTATGTATTTCAATAGCATTCCAGCAGACCCTATTGTGATCACCAATATACAATTTTGTAATAACCATATCTTTACTTTCATTTAAATGTATACATTCTGTTGATACAGTTACTATATTCAGTCAACTTCACTATTGTTTAAATTTAAATTAATATTTTCAACTTCATTGCCTCATTTTTTTTTATACAATTAGTGCCAATCAATGAAAAACTATTAATATATATTTGTGATGACCTCATTGTATAAACACACAATTTATAACATTATTGTTTTTATTATATTACACTGAATTAATTTTGATTTCAGTTACACCAACTCGCGGTATGTCGGCCCGCCTGAAGCCATTTGGAGGTTGTTTTCGTATGAGATACACAACAAAAGTCACACAATCGTAAGACTTCCGGTCCACCTGGAAGACAATCAGACCTTGTACTTTGCTCCCGGACGTGCTGAAGAACGGTTAGACGATGATAACCAACGTCGTACTAAACTAACAGAATTTTTCAGACTCAACACAAACAGCGAAGTGGCAAGGCAGTACCTGTACCACGAGATACCGCTACATTACAGTTGGCACTAACCTAGCAGGACATGGTCGCCACGTAGAAATCAAATGGCCAACGAGACGTTGGCTCGGATGTATGTCGTCAGCCCAATGGATCAGCACCGTTTCCACCTGCGACTGTTACTTCTGCACCGGAGAGGCCCACGGTCTTTCCGAGACATAAGAACGGTCGACGGGATTGTGCATGAGACATACGGGGCTGCGGCAATTGCACTGGGACTCATAGAAGACGACGAAGTGTGGTATGCGTGCATGCAAGAGTCTGCGACGTTGGATACTCCTGGCTAGCTACGGTATCTCTTCGTCACGATACTGGTGCACTGCCAGGCTACGGAACCGCTGAGGCTGTACACGAGCAACGAGGACAGTATGATGGAAGACTTCAATCGGCGTTGGCAAGACGTTGACCGTGCGAGGGCATCGACTCTGAAGGCCATTGGAGACCTTCTGCGGGTACATGGAAAAACGCTCCACGACTACAATTTGCCCATTCCGGACGATCGTCAATTTATTTCTTTGGATATTATCTCTTAACAATATAGAGTCTTTTACATGCAACTCTAGACTATGTGCATTAATATCATAATTAGCTTTTGATTTGATTTTCTTTTTGATTAATCTTTCCCTAGCAATTTTATGAGATTCCTGCATTCTTTGTTTCAAATCATACAGGTAATCATCGTAATTGTACCTAGGTTCGGGGTTACTTCTCAAATTTACTGGAATATCTATTTCTTTTCCCCATACAACAAGGTATATGTCTGATAATTAGTGGATGAATGCTCTGTCAAATTATAAACGAATAACGCATAAGGTAATATTTGATCCCAGGTGTTTAAATCCTTGTCTACGTAATGCCTAAGATATTCGGCTAAAGTTCTGTGTGATCTTTCCAATCCCCCATTGGTTTGTGGATGATACGGACTAGTATTTATCTTATTAATTTTTAAAAGTTTGCATACTTCTGTGAATGTTTTACTTAGAAAATCTGTCCCTTGATCAGTTAATATGGTCTCTGGCATTCCATGGATACAAACGAAATGTACGACAAAAGCTTCAGCTACAGTATTGGCTGTGTGATTTGGTAATGGTACTCCCAATGAAAATTTGGTTAAATCATCCTGCATTGTTAAAATATAGGTATTTCCAGAAATAGTAGTTACTAATGGTCCTACTATGTCTAGAAATATTTTTTCGAATGGCTTTGAACTTGTGGTGGTTATAACCATGGGTTGTTTAACTTTTCTATTCGTGACTTTGTTCTTTTGGCAGGATTCACATTTCTTAATGTAATCCTTAACATCAGACTTAAGCCCTGGCCAATTAAACTGACGTTTTATTTTCCTAACTGTTTTGTTTAGTCCTGCATGTCCTCCAAGTACTGAGTCATGAAATTGTTTGAATATAATCAACTTTTCTACCTCTGTATATTCCATCTTTGAACAAATTAATATTTCTATTCCAGTATTTCTAAATACATACCTAATCATGGCTCTAACTTTTTCCCATTCTAAACCGTCCTGTCGGCCTAACTGTTTCATTATGAGTTTATTCAGAGAATGCTTTTCGCAGAAATGTTTTAGATTTAATAGAGCTGTATATAGATTTTCAAACGTAGTGATCTGTTTAGTCTTGCTTTTGGTTATTAAGAATATTATATACCTATTTTCGTGTTTAACCTTTGTTACTGCCTACTTGTTTGCTTGATTTCAAAATAACAGTATCAACGAATTTTTTCTTTATTTCGTAATTGGTTCCTGTCCTGAAGTTATAATACATTTCTATTTCAGTAACTATGTGATATTCAGAAGGTGATTCTAACAATTCTCCATGTACTTCTTTAACATTTCCATTGGTTATCAATGTGGTTTCGAATTTTACAAGGAAATTGTTATAGCTTTCCTCTTTTATATCTTGTATAGTGAACATTCTTGATAAAGCATCTACGTTACCGTTTTTTACTCCCGGTTTATATTTAATAACATAATCGTATCCAGGATCCTTTAAATTAAATAACCAAGCTAATGGTCTATGATCGCTTAAGATAGTAAATTTCCTTCCATATAAATAAGGTCTAAATTGCTATATTCCATAAACGATAGACATTCTAGTTCTTTGTTGCGTTGCAGGTTGCTACAATAATGTATTTTTTTCCGTTGGACGTTGGTAATGGGCCTAGATAATCTAATTATAGTGTTGAAATATACAATTAATATTAGTATTCAAACCATGTAAACACACGTGCGTGTACAATGTCGTTTTCTAATAGATACTTATGCAGTTACGATATAGCTGTGTAACACATTTACTATCGCTTTCTATATTATATACGGATACGGAATGGCCTCGATTGTTCATATAAATAGGGCCTTTGATGTATGCAATAATTACTTGCACAGACGCTGTCATACCAAGTGTACGCGGTGTGTGTGTTTAAACACAGGTTAATTGTCCAGTTGTACGTTATTATATATTATACTTATACATAATCATATTGTCGTGTTATTACTTATTATATTAATGCTAACATCATTAGTCCGTCAAGCTTCACTTTCAACAGTTAGTCGTTGTAACGGTTTTCCTGAAATTAAAGGTATTGGTTGTAGTAGTCCGTTGCTTTTACCTGGAGGCTTTTTGGAAAGCTGACATGATGTACATGTTTTTATAAAAGAATAAGTATCTTGTATAATGGTTGGCCAGTAATATTTTTCTTTTAATTTTGATAAAGTTTTCGTAATACCAAAGTGTGCTGAAAAAACGGATTCGTGATAGGACTTTAAGACAGTATTTACCAAATTAGTCGGAATAACTAATAAATATTTTATGCCATGTGGTGACCAATTTTTGAAGTATAGTAGTTTGTCTTTAATAATATATTTTCTGGATTTTTTATAGTATTTATTTTTAGTATCTCCTGATAAGGATAAAATTATGTTTTTACAATATTCGTCTGTTGACTGTAATGTTCTCAGTTTCTCAGGCTGTATTGTGTCGAAATTAATTGTGTCTATATTTTCTTTGTCGTCGTCATCGTTTAACATATCAGCAATTTTCGTTATATTAAAGGGGTAACGCGAGAGACAATCTGCAGCCATGTCCCATGAGCCTGGGTGATGTTTTATTTCAAGATCGTATTCTAAGAGTTTAAAAATAAATTTTGTAATACAAGATGATGGGTTTTTCATCGTTTGGTAATACTGTAAGCTGGAATGATCGCTAAACACAGTTATTTTTCTCCCTAAGAGATATTCTCTGAAGTGGTTTGTCGCAAATACTACAGCCGACATTTACAATTCTGTAGTTGTATAGTTCTTTTCACCTCCTTTTAATTTTCTAGAAGCATAGACTATAGGATGCCTTTTACCGTTGTTGTCTTCTTGTTTCAGTATACCAGACAATCCTTCTAGCGAAGCATCAGTAGTAACAAAAACTGGGTATCCATCTTCGAAATGTGCCAGAACTGGTGCTGTGGTTATGGCCTTTTTTAAAATTTCAAAAGCTTCTACCTGTTCTTTTCCCCAAACAAATTTATTATCCTTTTTTGTTAAGCTTGTCAAAGGGCTTGCTATTTTTGCAAAATTGTTAATGTATTTCCTATAATAACTTGTAAGTAAAATGAAGGCTCTTAAGTCTTTTATTTTATTTGGAGTTGGAAATGAAGTAATCGCTTTAATATTTTTTTCTAATGGTTTTATGCCTATGTTTGATACTGAGTGTCCAAGTAATTCAATATTTGAACTAAAAAAATTGCATTTATTTGTTTTTAATTTTAGACCCGTTTCTTCCAGTCTACTGAATATATCTTTTAAATTAGTTAGCGCTTCTTCAAAATTGGTTCCGAAACAACATATGTCATCTAGGTAGGCTATCATTGTCCTGTATAGATAGTCACTGAATACATCATTTATTATTCTTTGAAAAATTGGTGATGAATTTTTAAACCCTTGTGGTATCCTTTTGAAATTAAAAAGTCCAAAATCTGTTATGAATCCTGTCTTATTTTGGTCCTCTTGTTTTATCGGAATTTGAAAATACCCCTGGGCCATGTCTATAGAAGAGTAATATTGAGCCCCTTCCAGGCTTCTAAAAAGATCTCGTGATCGTGGAATTGGGTGTTTGTCGGGTATCGTTTCGTTGTTCAATTTCCTATAGTTTACTAAGAATCGGTATTCCCCAATTTCTTTCTTAGGAATTAAAAATACTGGAGCAACGTAATTACTTTTACTAGGTTATATTATGTCTGCGTTTATCATTTCTTCAATTAGAATTCTCAATTTATGTCTTTGTGCAGGTGAAACTCTGTATGGTGGTTGAAATATTGCTTTATCTGTTTTTAATTTAATTTAACATGGTTCTACCTTGGCACAACCAATATCTAAAGGATCTGATGTAAATAAATGTTTATAATTGTTTATAAGTCTTAAAGCCCTTTTTCTTTGTTCAGTATTTAATTCCTGTGATATTTTAATAACATTTCCTTGCTTATCCATAATTTCTTCAATGTTATCGTCATTATAGTTTTCTGTTGGTGTCTTATTAGTGGTGTTTATTTTATTTTCATACTGTTTCGTCTTGTACCCTTGGTGTGTCAGTATTTTTTAAATTCGCTATCGTCATTCCTCTCGGTATGTTACTATATAATTTTGAAAAATTGTAAATTGTGATTCCGTCATCAATGTTAAAGTATGTTGATTCCAATTTTAAATACTTATTTTTGCTTAAACTTTCTCTAAGTTCTATTACATAACTTTTGTTTTGTTCTTTTGTACTTTTAGGTGATATCGTTATATTGTCTTTACATATGATTTTTCCAATATATTTTGTATTATAATTTATGCTGGCTATGTTATATTTGATTTCTCTGTTGTTTGAATTATTATTATCTTTGTAATAGTTATACCATGCTTCGTTCATCGTTATGACTTCGTTATTGATTTTTATGTTTTTGTTTTTGAAATTTATTATTAAATTATTTTTAATATTGAAATTATTCCCCAATAATATTTCGCAATTTAGCCCTTTTATAACAAATGCATCAATAAAATATTGCTGATTATTTATTTTAATCATTCAATTTATTTTTCCCACTTGATCCAATTTTGAATTGTTTGCGATTGTTATCGTAACTTGTTCTTTGTTTTTTATGCATTGAAGGTTTTTGATTAGCGAAACATTTATACATGAAATATTTGATCCTGTATGGCGTGTTTCTCAATTCCTTCGTGTTCTACATTTATTGACAATACTCTATGTTTATTATCATATTCAGTTCCGGTGTTTGTGCTTGTCTGTGTGCATTTTGTATGGTCTACATATTTATTCACGTAGTTTTGTACATGTTCAATGATATTGCTACGTTCGGGAAAAATTGTAATAACTATTATATTTGAGAATATTTGTGGTTCATTTGTTTTTATTTCGACTGCCGGCATCCAGTGATTATTTTTATAAAAATGTCTATACTTGGCCTGTTTGTTTTCCAATAAATTATAGCATTTGAAGTGTCATTATTTTCAGCTTTAAGTTAGCTTCTCTATTACGTGAGTTATCTCTATATTCGTAATTATTTGAATCATATCTATGGCTTGGATTTCTTTCGTAATCTCGATATGTATTAGTCTCGTTTTGTATTTTGTTGTAATATTGTCTCTCTCTGGACTGTGATCTGTCTCTACCATATTGTCTATTTCTGCTAGATTCTCTACTTCTGTCATTAAATCTTCCTGGGTATGGACTTTTATCTCTGTATTCACGCTGTCGTCCTAGATAATTTGTTTCTCTATTATAACTTCTGCTCCTATCTTCATTATAGCTATAATTTTTATTATTATATCGATTATCTATTTTTCATCATCAAAGTTTACCGATTTATATCTTCTTCCTGTAATGTTGATTTGTTGAATATTTTCCCTTAATTGGTTCATCTCCTTTTTGTATTATCTATCTCTCTCTATTAACTGTCTTTTTAGTTCCTCGATTTCTCTTCCTTTTTCTTTTGTTTTTTGGTTTAGTTGAGATACATGTTCATTAAGCATTTCTATATAATCACTTAATTCTGGCCCTCTGTTATTAATTCGAAATTGCATCAGTTCAAATTTTTTTAAATTTTTCTTTAGCTCTTTTAGGTTGCTATTGTCGTGTAATGAAATCGCATGTAAGACTGTCTCTTTTAATCCCTTTAAAATATAAGTGCAAATTTCTTCTTCCTGGATATTTTTATTTCATTGTCTACATATATTTTCTATTTTTGTTACAAAACTCATTATAGACTCTGTATCTCCTTGACGTCTATTTTCTAATCTAGTTTTTAAAATTGTATTGTAACCAATTAGTTGAAATTCGTCGAGAAACTCCTGTTTCAAATCATTCCATGTCCAATTATTATGTTTGTCCTCCAAATTTTCCAAAAATATACTTACTGTACCTTTTACGAATATCGATAAAAATCTTACTTTATCTTCGTCCTTCTAACCGTTTACATCTGCTGCTTTTTCGTATTGCTTGAAATATTTTCTTACGTCCTCATTACCTGAGAACTGGTCTGGTCTAATCATTAGAATTTTTTCTGTCATTATCTGTGTTTGTTTATTTAACGGAGTAGAATGAATTTCAGAGTTTAGGTTATCTCCTTTTTGATTATTTATTTTTATTGCTGTGTTTTCGTTTTTGAATTTTGGTTTTTCACTCGTGTTATTAGAATCAATAATTGTTGAATTATTAAGATTTATTAATTTATTTTGAATAATCTCACTATTTTCTGGTTGAGTATTTAATTTTAATTCCTCATAAATATTATTAGAAGTATCATTAATCTTAAGATTTTTTAATATATTTTCATAATCAGAACTTTCCTTTTGACAATTTTGGTAAGTTATATCTGAATTTGCTAGAATATTTTCGGTGTTATTCACAAATGAGCTGGCATTAAGATTATAGTATAATTTTAAATTATCTTTTGATATTTCTGAAAAGCTCTCTGAAGTTAATTTATTAATTGTATTTGTGTCAGTGCTCGAATCGCTCGAATCGAATATTCCTGCTTCTTTTTCTAATTTATTAAATCGATTTTATTAGTTTTTGCTTTGATTAAAATTAAATCGCATTCTTCTTTGCTTAATGTGTTATCTATGTCGTCTAATGTTATGGTGCCTTTTAAGTATCTACCAAGTCTAGCTCTTAATTCATTAGTTGTACCTGTTGATTTAAATTTTTTATTTTCGCAATATTTAATAAGAAATGGTTTTTTGAGAGTATAGATTTCTGTTGCAGTATTTATTGTTATAGAAAGATCCGATTTAGGGTCTTTAAGTTGATTCATTAATTTATAAAATTTGAAAAATTAATTTAAATAATCCTAAATCTATACTTGGACATTTTAACGGTTTTTAATTATGTTTATCTACAATTAACTAAAATTATATACCTACTTTATACTATTGTTAAAATCCCTACAAATTTAAATTATTAAGAAGTTTTATTAAATTTATTGTAAGAAAAATTTATTGGGAGTGTTTGATCAAAAAAAAAAAAATATATACTACTAGATTAATTATATTACTATGTAAAAAACCTAACCAAATAATTATTACTACTTCTTAAATTTAATTAATTAAATAAATGAACACTAATAATAAAAAAAAAAATCGGTTAAACAAAAAAAATATTCGTAAAATATAGATCGCATACATACAAAAATACAAAATATAACTGTACACCAATATTCACCTTGAGTGTGTAAAACACCAAAATGATGGACCCAATTGCTCGTAGTCTTCCCGCCGTAAATGTTCAATCTGATGGACAAATGTACAAAACGCGATATGTGTAAAACACTACAGTACTTGTAATTAAAACAAATTAAACTCAAATACACAAACAAACACACAAATGTTAAAAATTCCGGGTCATGGTTTACGATTGTCGTTGGGCGCCACTGTCGTATACGCCGTTTGACAGACGTACACAAAAAAAAGAACAATTATTATTAAGCACTTTTATTAAAACTCTTACGTCCAGTGGCGATCGAAACACACGATCACCGCTGACTGACCCCTATCTGTCTTAACATATTACTTATATATTAATATTACAATTTACAATCGAAGCACTATTTGTAGTATCGATATTAAGTTTAACCTAGTTGCATTATATTTACTGACTATGCTTAAAATTATACTAATTGTTATTGTATTACATTGAATGTTTACTTAACCTAGTTAACAATATTTTTTTATATATTATGCATGATACTACAAGAAGTAATGTAACTATAAAACTGATGAGTGTTATGAACTAAATGAATAATAATGTGATGACTTTTGTTTTATCACACAACAAACTCAAACTGTTAATTTAATAAGTATTACTGCACAAGTGAAAGGGTTGAAGTCGGTGTTGACCTAACGTATTAGGTATTAAGTAATTAAATTTCAAAAGAATGTCCAAAATGTAGTAAAGGTGGGGTGTAATTTAACTCTTTGTTGGTAGCAGTTAAGTGCCTTACACACTAGACGTTTTAAACGCGCGCGTCAGCGTTTTATAAAAACGCTGCGTTTTGAACGCTCGCGCAGATTACGTACACACTGAGCGTTTTGGACGCGTGCGTCCACGTTTTTCAAAATTTAGTTTTCAAATTTTAGTTTCATATGTCATTGCACTTGAGACCTGATATCCCTTAGTACATCATTACACACCATACGTGGCACATCATTAGTACCTATTTTGTTCTTTAAAAATATTTAAATTTTCAAATTGCCATGGATTTATTGAACGACGAAGAAGCCATGTCAATTATTTATGTGTTATATAAAAGGCACCAAAAAAAGTCAAAAAATGGTCAAAGACGACACTGGGTACATCCATTAAATTTAAAAAGGCCAATCGAGGGTCGATTTCAAACAAATTTTATGACTTTGAGGAGTTACCCAGAAGAATTTTTTAAATACTACAGAATGTCGATTAAATCGTTTGATGAGCTGGTAAGTAAATTAATTTCAAATTTAAAAATCAGGGGTGATATTTGGAGGGGGCAGGTTGTGTACTCGCACACTCTTGCAATTTCCATTTATGATTAGCCAAGTTATTTTTGATTCTTTGGCCTTGGCCTGAAGACATATATTGCATTTTTGAAATATCTTAATACCTACACATTTTCACATTTAATAGTTAAACAATTTGATAAAAAAAATTTGAATTAACTTTATTATACCTATATAATTATGTTTAATTTTAAAAGAAAAATTCTATAACAAAATATAGAAAAAAATGTTTACCAATTGGCCCCCCTGGTTAAAATATTTCCCAGATGCATAAAAATGTGGTAAAAAAAAATATTTCAAACATTTATTTATTTTAATTATTCTAATAAAATAATTCAAAAATATTTTTAAAGATTTCTTTAGTTAACCTCAAACTTCAAAAACAAGTTACCTGTTTGCATTTACCAATTCCAGCAGAAGAAAGACTTACTGTGACGTTAAGGTAAAAATCTTTATTAAACAACTTGTTTAGTTACAAAATATTAAATAAAAACAAATTAAAACTTAAACATATTGATTTCAAAACCATAAAACTAAATATCAATTTTTCTTTTTCTATATGAATTTTCAATAAAATTCAGTACAAATAAAAATAAAAATAAATGTAACATTAAACTAAATACAATATTAATCCTGTCTGTATTGTATTATATTTTTAAATTGCAACTTGCTATTAAATTAGTTGAATTTTTACTGTGGAGATTGAGAATTAGAATTGTAATAAACATTTTCAGTGGGAATAGAAGCAGTTTGAGATGTAGACAATTCTTGAAGGGCAGATGTATTATAATGATTTATTTTGTTAACACGTGTGGCTTGTGTTGGAGACTCTGATGGGGTATTAAGCTTATAATGGTGGCTAGTTGGGATAGAAGTAGAAGGAGATGAATATTTTGTTGGAATGTTGAAAGTATTTTGATAGTTTATGTTTGAAAGAGTGCTGGATACAGATGGCGATTGTGAATTTGGACTGTAATAAGAATTTTCGATTGGAACTGAAACAATTTGGGATGTAGAATGAATGCCAGATGAACTATAGGGATTTATTTTATTAACATGGGCGACTGATATTGGAGATTGTGTATTTACTTTATAATGGTGGTTTAAAGTTGGAATGGAATCGGTTTGTGATGGATAGTGAGGGGGAACATTGTAAATATTATGATGGCCCTGAGTTGAATAGTCATTAGCAATTGGTGTTTGGTTAAATGATGATGCATTTGAAGAACCTTTTAATCTTTGGATACTGTTTAGAATGTCAATGTAAAGCTGTGTTTTTTGGTCTTCTGTTAACAATCTAATTTGAGGTAAAAGAGACAGCAAAAAATGTTTTTCAGGGTCTTCTTCTGTCTTACGTTGTTCGAAAATATTTATCAAACGGGTTTCAAAATCTTCTGGCTTTTTGTTGATAAGTTTCTTACGTTTAGGTGTATTTGTATACGCTTCATCTTGATGCTCCGTTTCTATGTTATTTGAAACTTCAGTTTCATTGTTCTCTTCTTCTTCCTCGTTTCCGTCCCCATCACTGTGTTCAAAATTACTTTCCGTTCTAAAACAATAACATTTTTATAATATACATTTTATGATTTGTTTGCATACTGAGTAACATACGTTCGATTTAACATAGTAGGCCTCAAAAATTCCATTATATCTGCATAAATATACTTGTGATTTTTTTTTGCTGCCTGCCCTGACTTGGTGACACATTTCCTACGGAAACAATCTCTAAGAGATTTCCATTTTTTTTGGAGTTCAAGAACTATGAACAAAAATTATAACAAAGAACTATATAATTTATTATACATTTCAAATTATTTATTTATTTATTTATTTTATTTAATATACGCCAAACAGCAATTTACAGAATGTATGTGAAGTACATAAATTAGTGAGTGATAACAGAATTAAAATTAAATATAACAGCTTAAAACTAGAATATTTACAAACAGAATGTAGTGTTAAAATATAGTTGTATATAAACAGATAGAAAATGGAGCAGGTGGACACAAAAAGATCTACATGGGCACAGGGCATTATTGACACAATGAAGCATGCGGTGGATGGTTATTACCATAAGAGATGAAGTATGTAGGGATAAGAAATGGTGAATGATGTCTTGAAGAGTAGACTGGAAATTATATTTATATACATAAATATATTGTGAATATCTTATTAAAATTATAATATTTAAATAGAAAAAAGGTCGGCAAGTGGGTACTGCTCTGCTGTACAGTGGGTGTCGAGTGGGGTCAATGTTTTGAATTTGTTAAATTTGAATTCAATGATATAAAATCATTGTAAAAATGATTCTGAGCAAAGACAGTCTATCAGCCTACATAACAATGTGTATTTTATGATATTAATTTTATTTAATGGTATTTGGCTACTGGAACAAACTATTCGGCGTTACATTTTGATTTTTTAATGGGAGTTTCAACAATCGCAAAAATTGTTAAAGAAACTTGTGAAGTTATCTGGGAAGTATTATAACCAAGTGAAATGGCTGTTCCATCAATTCAGGATTGGTTAGATATTGCTGAAGGATTTTATACCAAAACCCAATTCCCCAATTTGGTCGGTGCTGTTGATGGGAAACATGTGAGATTAGAGTGTCCTAAAAGTAGTGGAACTCAATATTTCAATTATAAGCAGTTTTTTCATTAATTCTTCTTGGTATATGTAATTCTAACTATTGCTTCACAATTATTGATGTTGGATCGTTTGGAAAAGAAAGTGATTGCAATATTTTCAAACAATCAGCGTTTGATAAGAAACTCTACTCTGGTCAAGTTAATTTCCCTCCAGACACATGTTTACCAAATGATACAGAACGTGTACCACAGCCTTGCCCATATGTCATAGTTGGTGACGAAGCGTTTGCTTTAAACAAACATTTGTTAAGACCCTTCCCAGGAAAAAGTTTGAATAATGAAAGACGTATATTTAACTATCGCTTGTCCAGAGCAAGACAACATATTGAGTGTACATTTGGAATTCTGTCCAATAAATGGAGAGTTTTTCATACCCCAATTTTAGCTTCTCCCAATGTTGCTATAGCTATAACAAAAGCAGCCTGTGTGTTACACAATTTTGTTCGCCGCAGGGATGGATATATTACAGAGGATTCTATGAGTTGTAGAATGGAAGAAGAATCAGAAAGAAGAGGAGTAGGAAATGCTTCTACAAATGCAAAAGAGTTGAGGGAATATTTTGTAAAATATTTTAATACTCCTGAAAATGCCTTAAGTTGGCAAAACAAAGTATTGGCCATGTGATAAATTTTATAAAAAAATTGTATAATAATTTTACCATAGTATAAATACCATTACGTACTTTTGTTTTTTTTTACTGCTTCACTAGGTATATGTATGAAAATCATCAATGCATGATGTAGCGACCTTTGTCCAACTTACATATTTAGCTATTTTATCTTTGTAACAATGTTCTTCTGTGAAGATTCAAAATAAAAACATTACATACAATTGGCAGTATAGAATATTGATGCTTAAATAATACATAGTGATGTAAAAATACTATAAGTTAAATGAGTTATCATTGCTCTTTTAAAACATGATGTTAATTTAAAGAATATTATTCATGTGTATTATAATAAAATATGAATGAATAAAACGATTCATGTATGAAATGATGTATACATTTGTTACAATTATTAACTCTTGTCAATTTGTTGTTTGTATGTAATTACCAATTAATATAAAGGTTATTTAAAATTTAAGACTCAAGATTTGCTTGTCCAATATTTATTCTAATTATAAACATCTATATATATTATATAAGATACAATTAGTTGAATGGGAAAATTAAAAAAAAAAAATTGATAACCTATAATAGGTGTTAAACCATAAAATAAATTATTATAGTATTTTATTGAAACATAGTTTTTAATTTTTATCTTATTTTTAAAGTCTTATAAACAGTTGTATAAAACAAATGTTTACAAACTATTTTTTTAGAATATGCAACCATGATATAATTGACAGTTTTTAATTACAATGTATATATATGGATATATTACGTTATAGTTATTTAATCTTTATTTATTATATTATATTACTATTATAATTCTTGTATTTAATGAAGTTAGATTAACAGTAAGTTCAATTCAATGTTTATATTATATTTTTAAGTATACCAAGATTTAATAATTTAAACTACCTACCACACTAAAAATATTAAAAGAATTAGTACTAAAATTACAATTACTATTTAATCTAGTCTTATAATTCTGTTTTGGTTAAATCAGCCCATCAGGGGCGTAATTAAGGGGGGGATAGATCCCCCTAGAGCCTATATAATAAATCAAACAGTACAAAAAATAGCTATGTACATTATATTACAAACAAAATAAAATAAATATTTTAATAACTATTATTACATTTTGATGAATTTATTATACTATTGTATAGGTACTAAATTGTGTAGACATTTTAAGCAACATTTATTAATACATTTTGTGTACCTATAAATTAATTTAAGGTTTTTTGATGAAATAGTATTCCTAGGTGCCACTCACCACTGTACTTGAAAATCTAGTATTTTGTGTGTAAAAAAATGTCTATCCCCCCCCCCCCCCTAAGACAAATTCCTAATTACACCACTGCAGTTCATAATATATTTATTAAACATGTGCAATCAAATTTGCGTACCTAACATTTAAAATATGTTTATTACACTTCAAAACAATACTCAAATAAGTACTTTACAACATTTGCCACTGGTCAGTTCAAGTCATATCCCCACCATGAAAAAAACCTAAATACGCCACTGCTTGTACGTCCCTACTAAATACTTATATTTAATGTAAGAAATTTAGAAAAAAATTATATAACTAAATTATTTATTTTTTAAAATGTTTAAGTAAACATAGGTATTAGGGTATCTCTTTTTTTATGTTTAATTTTCAAATAAAAATAAATAGAAAACTATACTTAATACTTATATAGTTATATCTTATACCTATACTATCTCATTGTACCTAAATTTACAATATTATAATAGTACAATAAATTGATTTAAGTAATTTTAACACCTGTATGCTAAATAAACATGATTACAATTATATTTTATATTTTTAATTTTATAATAATACTGTATTTTACTGGAGATCCATTCTATAGGTACTACTAAAAAATTAATAATAATAAATCGTAAATATAACCGTGGTAAATGGTAATAAATAAAAATAACACCTTAATTTTTTT